TGTAACATACATATACTGTACATAAACATACTGTACACACACACACACACACACACACACACACATACATACATACATACATACATACATACATACATACATACATACATACATACATACATACATACATACATACATACATACACATACACATACACATACACATACACATACACATACACATACACATACACATACACATACACAGACACATATAGTTTGAACTCATTTTTGGCTTTTATTTATTGGTTACCATAAAAGTCATATCGATTTGCAATTAATTGAATTAATAGGGATAGCAAACTATTATACACAACAACAAAATTTATATATAATAAAGTATACCAGTATATTATATAATACACTACAGTACTGTATTAATATGTACAGTAGATGTTTTTTTAGTATTAGTTGTTTACTTTATAGAGTTTTTACTGAATATACTCTAATTTATATTATATACAGTATAAAATTAAATTGATGCTTTTAGCTAGCTTAAAAAATTTATTTTATTTTATTTTTGCTATGGGATTAATCATCGTATTTGTTTAGAGCCAGTAAAATGTTTAAACATTGCGCTTACAGTATATTTCACTACTACTACTACTACTACTACTACTACTACTATTTGTTTTTAAAATTTTATTTAAAAAAGTTATGGTTTAAAAAATATGCTCTTTTAGATACCCTTATAATAAACCTACAAAACAACAAATTAAATGTAAAATACAGTAGAAATATACAGTAATTTTTTTATAAATAAAAAAATCACTGATATCTATAAATTTATATTATAACTGTTTTTTATAGGATTGAAAAAATCTATTTAATGCAATTGAAACCATAAAAATCATATAAATATATACTGAATATATATTGAATATAAATTTATATATATATATATATATATATATATATATATATAGTATATAACTTTACAAAGAGTATAAAAATACATTAATTTTGATTTTACGATTTTTGTTGTTGTTGTTGTGGTTGTTGTTGTTGTTGTTATATGTATGTGAAATGTATTACATACAGTATAATAATAATATTGTAAAATAAAAAATAAAAATCTAAATTGTAGTTTATATGGTACAGAGTTTTTTTTGTATGTACATAATGTATGACAAATTAAATTTTAAATTTTTACATATAAACAATATTTTTTTATTTTGTTTTATTAATCTATGATATATGTGCATAAATAATATGTATTAAATATATATATATATATATTTACAATACATATATTGTTAAATAATTTTTGACATTAAGAATATTTATTTGATTTTCTTAGAATTTTTATTTTATATATTTTATTTGCCCAAAAAAAATAAATCTGATTGCTAATATTTTTTATGATATCAATATATATATATATGAAATATTATACCTTTAAAAATATTTATTTTTTTTCTAAACCATAATTATATAGCAGTTTTTTTTATTAGTATTTGTAAGAAACCGATTCATATAACAGACATAAAATTGTTTATAGCAGTCAAACATTTGCTATAATTCCCATGACTTAGCATTTTATGTATTCCCTTACTTACACACTGCCACACATACATACACTTACCCGCGACAACATATATATATATATATATATAATATAAAAAACCTAATATATATATATATATATATATATATATTACATATACATATAAATTCTGGGCGTCTATTTTGTCTATAAACACTTGATATTTAAAGTAAAGTTAATGTATAGCATACTATACCCATATACCATGTTTGTATATACAGTATACAAATATATTAAGTATTGTACTGTATATATAAAGTATATACTGAATATATATTGTGTAAATATATAAGATAGACATTTATATATATATATATATATATATATAAGATTATATAGCTTATTGTTGTTAACAGAGTTAAGACCAGAGTCTAGAAAATATTGGATCAACTTATATATCAATATATATATATATAATATGACTTTTATACTGTATATATAAAATTTAGACATAGTATTTAATTTATATTCTATACATACTATGTGTATATAATATTGATATACTATATATATATATATATATATATATATATATATATATATATATATATATATATATATTGCTATTATGATATATATAAAATTTGTCAATAGGCGTAAAATATAAATATAATGAAAGGCTATACAAATCACACACACTTGAGTGAGAACTATAGGATCAAAAATAGTATACAATTATTATATTAGTTTGATATATATATATATATTTCTAAATATATCAATATTTATAAACCATTGTTGTTGTTGTTGATATTGTTGCCAATATAATCGTCAACCAAAAATAAAATATAATATATACTGATATATATATGTATTATATATAAGATTGAAAAAATACAATATTTATTAAGAGTTTATAAATATTTAACAAACAAAAAACAAGAACAGAATATTCTCCGGTTTTATTAATCAAATGACAAATGAAATAACAATAATAATAATAATATATTTTTAATAATATTATTATTATGTAAAAGTCAGTAATAATAGTAATAATATCAATAGTTGTTGTTTTTATTTAGTTTGTGATTTGTTTTTTATTTTAATATAAAAGTATTATTATTGATATTTAGTTTTTAAATACACAATATTTAACAGTATATAATAAATATTGTCATTTATGTCAATATTTATTTTTTATAATAAATATTCTAAAAATATTACTTAAATAAAATTTAATAAGTTTTGCTTATTTTTAAAAAATAAATATTTTTATGAACACATAATTTTTAGAAATGTCAATATTATGAATGTTAGTAATTTAAATAATTAAGTAGATATTTGTTTTTTTATAAATATATTAAATACATATATATATACAGTACATAACTTTTAAATATTATAAATATTTAAATTAGTTTGAAAAAAATAAATATATAAAAAATTGATGATAATAAAGACAGTATTATTATTATAATTAAATTTTTTATTTATAATATATGTATATTATGTATTAATATATATGTTTAATTTTTATTTTTTTGCCCAATTTATATATAAAGATATATATATATATATATTGTTGAGTTTTTTTTGTACATCACTAGTGACTACTTGTATATTGCGACAGACATTTGTTACCAACAAACAAAAAAAAGGGTAACACCTCCTCCTTACCCATCACTGTCACTGATAGATAATGACCACTAAGGCAGCCATCTCTCTCTCTCTCTCTCTCTCTCTCTCTCTCTCTCTCTCTCTCTACACACACACACACACACTCAGACACTTGTGATTTTTTGCTACTCACACACACAAAGATATAGCAATTGTATTGATATAAATCGGGTGTTTATTTTCTAGGTCTCATATGTTGTCATCAATTAGTGGTTTCATACACGATATATACAGTATTGTATATACTGTGTGTGTGTGTGTGTGCGTACTGTGTATAGGGTTTTTATTGTAGTTGTTGGCATTTTGTTTAGATATCACACACACACACACACACACACACACACACACACACACACACACACACACACACACACACACACACACACACACATACAAATAGGTGTGAAAACTAGAAACTGATTACAATGAATAAGTAATTTATTTATTTTATTTTATTTTTGTATAAATAATTTTTGATTATTTTGTTGAACTAATAATTTCAACAATATCTAGACAATAAAAAAATCTAATATTGATAAATTATATGCAGTCTATATATATATATAGAAATTTATTTTATTAAAACAAATGTTTATTTATTTTTTTCTGTGATTCAATTTTTAAAATAACAAATCGATTTTTACTATTTCTCTCTATGTTTTCTATCTTTTAAATACATGTATAAAAATATATATATCAATAAATTCACATTAGAAATTGGATTTTTATTTTGTTTTTTTCATCAATTTTTTTCATATACTGTATATAAACTTTATATATATATATATATTGTATATCCGATATTTAAATCGATTTTCTTATATACACAGTATGTATATGTTGGGCACAAATCAACTATAAACTGAAAAAATACTATTAAAAATATAAATTTATAATAAAAACAATAAAATCAGTGCACACTATATATATATCAATATATGATATATAAAAAATATTTCACAAAAACCAACAAAAATAAAAAATTCTATTATTTTTTATTAAAGTCAATATTTTATTATATTGTAATCAATAATATGAGGGGTAATAGTGTTTATCAAAAAATTTTAAAATACCATTATCATTTGTTATAAACTATTAGTTATATATATATATATGTCTCGCTTTTAAAAAATGTTATTAGTTTTAAACAAATTAATCGTTAGAAAAATAATAATAAATATATTTAGTATAGTTTAGATAATGAAAATATATTGAAATACTATATTATTATTATTATTATTTATATCTATGACAGTTATTAAATAATTTATATTATTGTTATACTATAGATAAAATACTTTTATTTATTCAAGTAAATATTATTTGATTAAAAATTAAAACTACTCTATTGATTGAAAAATACAGTACTAATTAATTAATTAATTAATAATAAATATACTGCTTATATATCAACAATACAAACAATAAATCTAACAAAAATTAATTTTGTTAAATATTTTAACAACAATATATTAGTTAATTAGTTAATCAGTTAGTAGTTTTGTACATGTTAATGCTATGAAATTTTTGCAAAGTTTTATAATTATAAAATATATATATACAGTATTTAATTAATATATATATATATATATATATATATATATATATATATATATATATATATATATATATATATATATATATATATATATATATATATATATATAGATAGATAAAAGAAATCCATATATATATATATATATACTGAATATCATATAAAATATTTTAAACAATAACAACAAAAAATTTCTCAATAATTTCTGTATATATATATCTTATATATATATTTATTAATTTTGTTATTATTATTATTATTATTATTATTATTGACTATTAGGTTAACAGTAACGGCTTCGTGTCCAATGGATTTGCAATATTTTCCAATGGATCGCCAACTATGCACACTTGAAATTGAAAGCTGTAAGTATTTTATTGTATACAAATTGTTTAATAAATTTTTTTTAAAAAAATTAGATTTAAAAGTTTATAAAATATTTATATAAAAAAATTAATTTAATTTAAAAAGATGGCTATTCAATGGCTGACATTATCTATGTGTGGGGCAACGGTCCCGGCTCTGTTGGCAAAGCACCGGGTCTTGAACTGCCTCAATTCAAAGTGGTCGGACACAAACAATCAACAAAAATTGAAAATCTAAGCACTGGTATGTGTCAACAACAACAAAATATCCAAATGAATAAATTAATTGTGTTTTTAGTCTATAATTAGTATAAAAATTTATTATTATTATTATTATTATAGGCAACTATTCGCGTCTAGTATGCGAAATACATTTTGTACGATCAATGGGCTACTATCTGATCCAGATATACATACCGGCCAGTCTAATAGTAATCATATCATGGGTATCGTTTTATTTGCATCGTAACGCTACACCGGCTCGGGTAGCACTGGGTGTGACCACTGTACTGACAATGACAACACTGATGTCCTCAACCAATGCTGCTCTGCCAAAGATATCCTATATTAAGTCCATTGACGTATTTTTGGGCACCTGTTTCGTAATGGTATTCGCATCGTTGCTGGAGTATGCGGCCGTCGGCTACCTGGGCAAACGGATAGCCATGCGCAAAACACGTACCCAACAGTTGGCCAAACTGGCCCAGGAACATCGTAATCGGTGTGCAGCGGCGGCGGCCGCAGCGGCTGCAGCCGAATCGGGTGCCGTAGTGTTTAGCGGTATTGGCCAAACGGTAGTACCGGCCTGCCAGCAGCAGCATCATCAGCCCCAGCCCGACCAGTCGCCCAGTCTGGGCGGCTGTATTGGCGGCCATACGGGGCCCGTCCTGTGTCCGGCATCCATGGACTCGACACTACCCAGGCCTCTAAGTGTCAAGACTATGCCGGTAAGTTTTTTTAATCCCATTTTTGTTGTTGTTATATACCATACGGTATATACCATAAATAAAATTATAAAATATCATATATATAGTGGTTTCTCTATCTATCTATTGATATTGATAAATACAGTAATAAATTAGTTATAAATTATAACAATGTTAACAACAAATTATAACTTATAATAATATAATTTAATTGTTTCAATGTTGTTGATTAACTTTTAAATTTTATAAGTATTATAGTTTTCAGTGAAAAAATATAGTGCATATTATAAAATTAATTAATTATATTTATTACAATACTATTTGATATATTGAATTTTGATATACTGTTTAAAAAAATTAAATTAATAACATTAAATATCATATTCAATTTATGCAATAAAATGTGTGCGTTTACTATTGGTTAGATTACAATTGTATTTTTTGCATATAAAAGTATTAAATTAACTTGATAAAAAATGATTTTATTTTATTTAATACTTTAGAAAATAATTGATTTTTATTAAAGTAAATCATAAAAATTAAATATTTTTTGTTGTTGTTTAATCAACATAATACACAATTATTGTATTATATAAATTAACAACATAAAATTATGAATCATAAATTATGATTGAAATATATTATTATTATTATTATTATTATTATTATTGCTGTTATTATATTATATAAACATTAGTTAATACAAAAACATACAACAACAACAAAAATAATCATAATTATAATAACAAACAAACATACACATACATATATACACATACATACACACATACACACATACATACTCACACACAGACACACACACACATACATACATATACACACACATACTTACAAATACATATATACATATAAAATTGCATAAATGTCATAGTGTTTTAGCGCACACATACACTATAGTAGATTAAGTGACAACAACAACAAAATATAAGGTAATAGTAATGATAAGACAACACAAAATTGTGAACAATTGCTAGCAAATTGATGTGACTTTTACTTGACTACTAATACAAATAAGTACTTTTATACAGTATGTATACATTATTATTATTATCATTATTATTATTATTGCCATACACTTAGATTTTTTTATGTTTGGATTACTAAGACAACTAACAATATATATATATTATAGATATATATTCTTAAAGGTATTTATGTCTACAGAATACAGAATTTTTTTTGGCAGCAAATGTAATGCAAACACACAATAAAATAGAATAGTATAGAATATATTGCATATATATATAAATAAAAAACATATAAATTATATATATATATATTTAATAATATATATCTATAGATTAATCTAATTTACACATAAATATTAGCTTGTCAATATAATGTGCATTGACCATGCTTAAATTATACATCATATACTTATATATATATACAATAGATAACTATAGTTATTGGTATAGTTGTTTATAGAGATAAATAATACATTTTTATTATATGTGTGTCTGATTTATAAATTATTTGTTTTAATATTATAAATATGTATATAATGTACAAAAAATATAAGTTTAATTATATATATATACAGTATATATATTAAATAAAAACTATTGCAAGAATTGTTAATTAATTAGTTATTTTGTTTAACAATCTATTAGGAAAAAATAAAAAAGATTTATTTAAAATAAATACAATAAAATAGGATATATTATTATCTGTATATATATATTATTAGCGTTAAATTAATGCTTTTTTACTTTAAATATAGATTACAACAAACCTTACAATAATATCTTACAATTTTCTATACAATATATATATATATATTGTTTTCAACTTTCTAATTATAACTACAATTAATTAATTTTATGTTTTCTATCTTTAATTATATCTGTATCTGATTTTGTGTACTGGTTTTTCCAGCTAAATATAGATACAGATATTAATAGTACATTACTTAATATAAATTGTATATATTGTACAAATATATATATATATTGTATATAAATGGGGATATATTTTAATGACATTTTCTGTGTATGTGTGTTTGTGCAATGATTTTTATAAATGAAAAATATGTTTGGCATATGACATCATATATAGTATATATATATATTGTATATGCAATGATAATAATTGTCTTAACATAATATACAGTAATATCTGTATAATAATAATAGACACAATAACACACAATAAAATTAAAGTAATAATAATAATATAAAATTTAATTGATATCAATTAAAATAAACATACATATTTTTAATTTATATACTAATTGTTTTTCTTGATGTATTATTATTATTTATATATATATATATATAAAATCAGGGACAAAATAGGCGGAACTAATATTTTTATTATATCTCAAAAACTAAAAGACCTAGGACAAAGATATTTAATAAACAACTATGGTTTCTTGGAACGTACAAAATGGTGAGACCAAATTTTTTATAAAATTACTAAAATAGAAATGATAAAAATATGTAATATCTCAAAATCTATAATAGATAATGAAAATCTATAAAATGTATACTAAACTAGATAAAAAATAATTTGATACGTGTTTCAGCAATTTTCAAAAAAATAATTAATAAAGTTAGTATCAATTTTTGAAAGAGAAAAGTAATATATTATTTGTAAAATATTATATTACATTTTTTATATTTAATTAAAGTAGTTTATTTTTTTCTTTCAAAAATTTATAAAAACTGCTGAGACACATGTCAAGTTATATTTTATCTAGTTTATTATACATTTAATAGATTATCATTATCTACTACAGATTTTATTTTATTATATTATTTTGATCATTTCTATCTTAGAAATTTTATAAAAAATTTGGTCACACTATTTTGTAGGTTCCATGAAGCCATAGTATCATATTGAATATCTTTGTCCTAGGTCTTTTAGTTTTTGAGATATAACAAAAATATTAGTTCCGCCTATTTTGTCCCTGATTTTATATAATTTTTATACTGTATATATCAATATGTTTACAATTTATATGACTTTTCATTGTTGAGGAAATATAATTATCAATTTCTAATAACTTAATAAAAATATAATAGTAATTTTAATAAATATACAATATATACTTTTACAGAAAATTTAATAATATTAGAAATTAAATTAGATTTGATTTTGAAATAATATATTTTTATGGTATAATACAGACATATGTGTAGACATTTTATAATATATATATATATATATACATATAAATAGATTAACTAATAATAATATTCTGCTATAGTTTTGATTGCATTCATATACTTATGTATTATATATATTATGATAATATAATATATACGATATATTTTTTAAAAAAATAAGGCAGCAAATTATTATATACAATAAAAATGATAAAAATTTAATATAATTTATATACAGTATACATTATATAATAAATTTCCGTTAAATCTTTCATTCAATTATTTTTATGTATAACAATATATTGATGTATTTTATATGGATATAATTCAATAGATGGATAGCATAGAGAGAGAGAGAGAGAGAGAGAGAGAGAGAGAGAGAGAGAGAGAGAGAGAGAGAAAGAGAGAGAGAGAGAAAGAAATGTGAAAAATAGATACATATTATAGATAAACAGTTAGATAGATAGACATGTAGTCAACCCAAAGGCTACATTTACCAGAATATTAATATATATATATATATATATATATATAAAGATATATCTATCTATCGGGAGACCCGTAAAAAATTATGTTGTATTCATTGAGTCGTGAATAATATAATATTCAATAAATGCAACCCAATGTGTATCCAATTGAATATATGATGATATCATATATATATGATATAAACAGTATTAATATAATATATATTAATATACTATATATATAGTATATATAACTTATAGATACGTTAGTAATGGTAATAATCAAATATTATACCCAAAAAAATAATGATACAAATTTATATTATACACACACACACACACACAAAATGCTAATTCAGATGATTTTAGTTGTATTATACAGTATTTTCTAAAACAGAAAAAATCAAAAATTTAATATTAATAAATAAATAAAAAATTATTATACTGCTATTTCTTGATAAAATAATTTATTTATTTTTATGTACAGTATATTAATATACAGTAGCTAATAATGTAAATATAACAGTAAAAAATAAATTATATTATTTTAATAAAATTATAAGAATATATTGTGAATATAATTTTCATAATATTAATTTTTTTAAATAATAAATCTATTAATACTGCCAATAATAATAATAATAATAAAATAGTAGTAGTAATAATAATAAGCCAAAATAAAGTGTATTAATAATTAAACAATTTGATTTTTTATTTTATAAGTTAAGGTTTATTTTATTATATTTTATAAATTATCATTTGGTTTGATCTTAAATTTGAAAAACAACAAAAAATTCACATAATTTCCTTTAAAACGACATATTTTATTGTTGTTGTTTTAAGTTTTACTATTTTATCCATTATTTTATTTATTGTATTACTACAGTTACACACACACATACATACATACACACACATACATACACACACACACACACACACACACACACACACACACACACACATACATACACACACACACACACACATATATATATATATATATATATAGACACATAATTTTGTTTGCTTGAACAATCATAGCCGGGAAATAGTAAGTCATTAAATTAAAACTATATATTAAATACAATCTATGCTGTATACTGTAGACAATGAAATAATAATACTAGAAAATAAATAAATAAAATACTAACTTAAGTGGAATTATACTCTCTCTCTATATATAAAAATTTTTACTTAAGTTTTTTTTACTTAAAAATAAAAATCTCTAAGCTACCTAAGCTGCTAAATGCTATCACCCACACACATTTGTACACAAATTGATACTATCATCCAGGGTACCATAGAAGAGTCCAGTTTTTTTTATTATTAGTACAATACAAACTACATAAGCATACAGGGTCATATAATATCAAATTTATTACACATACACATACTGTACACACACACACACACACATACT